AATTAATTGTGTAAATTTGGAGTGGGGTGAGGCAGGAATGAATATAGAAATAACTCCATTTAAAACAACAACAACAAAAAAAATAACAATCACCTCTTGATTATTTATATTCTGATGTCATTCACAAACGTATCTTAAAGAAAGTCGTTTGGAGAGATGGAGCTAGAGTTCAGAAAGCATCAACCTCTCAAGTTAGACTTTGGTAAATAAGAGGCCTAAAATAGTACTTTTCGCAAACAGGTGCCTGGAGGGCAGTTTGTAGTTATGATTAGACCCAATGGGAGATTTTGTTCCTAATTTTTAAGTAACATATTGCCATTAATTTGCAAATAAATTCATTTATTTTTACTTGTTTGATTAACAACGATAACAAAATGAAAATCCAGTCTTAACGTTGTCAAGTTGATTCCAGCTCATAGCAACCTTTCATCAGCTTTCTGAAGCTGTAAATCATTGCAAGAGCAGACTGCCTGTTTCTACCCTGCATAGCGGCTGGTGGACTTGTCAACATTTTAGTTAAGAGTCTAATATGCATTTGACAATGCCACGGCTCTTCTAGGGTGACTAAAACTTATGAAACAAAGGTGGTTTAGACTCAAAGTGAGCCTTCATTGTGATTCCTAGGCTATAAATCATTACAGGAGGAGTTAACCAAATGGATTAGAGCCATTTGGTTTGCATTATGAAATGTAATATACTACACCACCAGAGCTCCATCTTGATTGACAAACCCAAACTCCAGGGCCTTAAAATTGTTGAGCTCACAATGCCCCTCCAGAAAGTTTCTGAAGTTACAGGAGATTGTCCATCTTACTCTCTAAGAGTGGCAATGCAGTCAAGTGCCAAACTTTTAGTTAGCGGCATGATACATTATATACTATCCACCAGGACTCCTAAACTAGTCTGAAAAGTCAATTAAAAATTGTCTACAGGTAGCACTGGCACAGAGGTGTTTGAGTAATGAGAAATGGCACATAAGACAATCTGTTTTATTTTTCTTTTATAATTTATCATTAGAAGTATGCACTCCATACAATGTTGCTACTGGTAATTTGTTAATATTCTTGTTAGATACTCACTTCTGGAGATACAAAGAAAAATAAAATGAACTATAAAGAAAAGGCAACAATAATGAAAACAAAATTTATATAGAAAAAAAAAACCCACCCCCCCAAAAAACCAACCCTATAATCTACTCATATCAGGAATAATCTACAATAGTTATTAGAACAGAACCTGTTCTATTTTAGCACTAACTACAGTAGCTTTTAACATTTAAAAATTGTTGTGTTATCTTTTGGTTAATATCTCTATGGTTTTGTTAGTTTTATGTGTCATGGAAACAGTATTGACTCATAGCAACCCTACACACAACAAACTGCAACTTTTCCCTGTCCTGAACCATCTTTAAAATCTTTGTTGTATTTGAGCCCATTATTGCAGCCTCTGGGCCAGTTCATCTGGTTGAGGACCTTTCTACATTTTTTAAAGTTGTACTTTTTCATGTGGGATCTCTTTCTTCAGAGATTTCTACAATTTCCCAAAGTTCTAGGGAGAATCCTAGTTATACTTCTTCCAAGACAGGTTTGTTTGTTCTAGGGGTCTATGTTGTTGTTGTTATGTGTCGTTAAGTTGCTTACGACTCATAGCATCCCTATGTACAATAGCCCTGAAACCTGCTCTATCCAGTGCCAACTTTAGTGTCTCTGACATACTTGCATATCCTCATTACTCCAGTCATTGTATCCATCCATCTCATCAATGGTATCCCTGTCTTTGTCTGTCTACCATTCCAAGAATGATGTCCCTCTCCAAGGACTAGTCCCTCCTTGCAACATGCACAAAATATGTCAGAAGGGCAACGGAGGTCTATGGTATATTTAATATTCCTCACCAGTATTATAATCCACAAGCATTGACTCGACTTTGGTCTTTCTACTAATTTTCTGGGTTTCACATGCATTTGAGTCAGTTGAAAATACCATGGTATAAGGACAAGTGTCCTTAATTCTCAGAGTGATGTTTGCTTTTTAACATTTTAAGAAATATTTTGAGCTGAGATACCAATGCAGTATGTTCTTGACTATTGCTTCTATAGACCTTGATTACAGCTACAACTAAAAGCATTTACAGTTTCAATGTTTTCTCCACATATCTATTTATCATTATGTCGCTTATTGCTCAGTATTGTGGATTTTTGTTTTCTTTTCATTACTAAAGACTGCAATAATTTATACTCATCAGTTAGGTGCTCCAAGATGCAAAGAAAGCTATGTCATCTACATAATAAGTGTGCCCCAATTCTTTATTATATAGTCAAGTTTCTCACACCATAAAATTACCATGCTTGAGTAGTAAGATTAAAATTACAGCCCGGATCCACATTGTTTGTGGCTAAAATCCACACAAATATACCCTTCTGTTAGAATGAATGCCCCTTGGTTTCTGTAGAAACATATTTTTAAAATATTTAAAATTTGCTATTTTATGTTACAGAGGGCCACAATGTGTAGGTATCAACTGTTGTCAACAACTAAACAATAATTCCAATTCTATGTTAAAGTTCCATAAAGCTTATTGTGTGCCAGATGTAACTTTTTAACTTCAGTTGTATAATTTAAATGTAGAAAGATTAGTATGCGTAACAATTAAAAATTTAAAATTGCATCAATTATAAATACTTATTATTAAACCATCAAATGATATTTTTTAATTGTCATTCAGTTGTTTATGATTTTAATCATCTTATGTTACTTGTAATATAAAACACAAAATGTTACTAAAATGCCATTTCTATCGTATTTTTGATTGTCATCGAGTAGAGCACAACTCATAGTGACCCAATTAACAAAAAGCCTGAAGCCTTACTGTAACTATCATTGTTTATCAAAGCTCATAGAGTTTCCAGACGCATGTTGCTTAGGAAATGAATGCCACTCTCCTGCTGCCAAAGTAATTTCTATTAATTAATTGCATATTAACTAAGATTTTTCTTTTTTATCTGTATTAAGCCACTCTGGTGGTTTAGTGGTAAGGAGTTCTGCTACCATTTCAACGGCATGGGATTTGAATGCACTAACTGCTCTACAGGAGAAAGATAGACAATCTCCTCCTGTGTGATTTATTGTCTCTGACAATCTGCTGGAAGGTCAGCTATGAGTCAGTTTTGATTTGGTTCATAACAACAGCAACACATATACATTATTCAAGGAACCCTGGTGGCATAATGGATAAAACATCATTCTCCTACGTGACAGGCCAGCAGTTCGAGTCCACCATTCATTCCACTGGCTAAAGATGGACAGTCTTTACATATTTGATGCCAGTAAGTTCAGGTATATTCACACCTTTAAGATAAAAAATGTAACAATACTCTACCTACAAAAATAATGAAGCATGGAGAACGTTGTGTTGTTGTTTAAATAGGAAGTTGTAATGGTGTGGACAGTACACTACATAAAAGGCCATACCTATTTGGCAATTTGAATCCACAAGGGGTTCTGAAGGAAAGATATGACAATCTCCTTCTGTGGTATTTAAACCCATCAGAGGGGCAGCTATGAGTTGGTTCAGATTTTATTGCAATGAGTAACGAATCATATTAAGTTAAAGTATCAAAAAGTAATTATCCCATAAATGTAGACAGTGTTTTATTCAGGGTCCTATAAAATAATCTTTGACTGAAATAAATATTCACTTCCTTGTCTTTCTTTCTCTATAATAATATATAATATTGAAGCTAGCAGCAATAGAGGTTTTTTTTAAAATGAAAAACAATATGCACATATGAAAATGATACTCTTTGAATTAGACTAAAAATTTTAAAATAATAATCTAATATACTATTCTACTATGTAAATCATATTAATTTATTACCTTAAACTAGTCAGTTTCTTGGTCCCAAAGAGAAAGAGAACAAAAACATGATGTTTAGACACAATAATTTGTAAAGTAATTGTTTTAGGTTTCTTAACTATTTTCAGTACATAGGAAAGAAGATTCAGCTATTCCTGTTATGATAAAAACAATCACATGCTGTAATAATTAAGACTAAATAAAAATAAATATCATTGGGAAAATGCTTATCATTAAACATTTCTAAAAAGTGAACTTTATTGTATATATAAATGGCATTTATTATGAGGTGTTTAAGGAAAATGGAAGGAATTTAAAACTATAAACGGTTCCAGTAACCTTGAAAATTGGCTTTTCTAGCCATTGTGTTAGCTCCTATTGGGAGGCATGGTCTCCAGGTATCTTAATTGTGGACACATGATTTTGCAAAGCATGAAGAGCTGTAGAATAAATATCAAAGAGAGTGTCTTCCACACTGTGAGTGGCAAGTGAAGACATGGTGAGAGACTATGGTGGAGAGAGGGTGATGAGACTGTGGCACTACTGTGAAGAAACAGAGTCTGTGAAGAGACTGTGGCAAGGTGTAACCAGAGGAATCCTGGAGATGGAACTACAGTTAAAGATTTTGCTTGATGTATAAATGAAGGCAAAATTACTTGTAACTGTTCTGAAATATAGTTTGCTGGGACTGATGAAACCAGAGATTTTTTTGTGCTGCTGATCTGAACCTAACTTTAAGTTGTTGACCAAGAAGCAGTTTGAAAGAATTGAGGTATTTTGCCTTTTTGTTAATCTGGTTTAAGACTGCATGATAAGATTTGGACTTGCATTGTGTAATAATCTTTGCATTCCCTACTCTCCAAATTATTTCACCAATAAACCCCACAACTGTGAGTATTGGACCTAATGATTCATAGAAATAGACGCAGGAATATGTGGCTTATCTGACCATGTAGCTATTTGTTTGATACTATGGCTATTTCTGATGGGGCAATGTTCCCCTTTATAAAGCTAGTAAAAGTCAGGCTCAGCTACCACCACATTAGATCTGCTACTTTCACACTGTATTTCAAGAACTAGCTTATATATTCCTTCTGTATTCTCTATGTACATAATAGATGCATAAGTAAATTCTCATAACTTACCTCTTTTAATATTTCTGCTTGTACTTGTGGACTTTTCTGAGTGACATGGGCAATGTCCTTCACATTTGACAGAAATCTGTTTTTCTAAAACACATGCCTGGTATTCTAGCTTGCACTGTATAAAGAAAAAGAGAAACAAAACAATTAGACTGAGTTTAGTAACACCGGCACAAAGTCAGAAATACTTTCAAAGAGAGATAATATTTATGCATATAATTTGAAAAATACATCTTTTTGTTTTAAAGTATAATCTTACACACTGATGGATTGTTAATGCTCCATTTAGGAAGTAAGAAATAGAATTGCTTTAGGCAAACATTCACTGAGAAATCTATTCTTAAGTTTGACATATAAAATTGTTCCCAAGTTTGACAACTCTGTATATGACTGACTTCAGAAACTTGAAAACAATTGGACATAAAGGGGTCACAAAATTTTACAGCATTTCTTAAGCATCTATGTACATGTATTTGTGGCTTTTAATTACTTGGGTGTGCATATATTTTATTTTTTCCCACTGGACTCTTAAATTTGAGTACAGAGGCTATCTATTTAGCATTCAATAAATGCTTTGGGCATTACTCAATGTAATATTTAGATTCCATCAAATTGACTCTGATGCATAACAACCTTAAGTACAACATATCTAAACCTTTCATGATCCTGAGCCATCTTCATCATTTCCCATGTGCTTAAGCCCATTGTTACAGTCACTGGGTTAGCCTTGTCATGTTGAGGCTCTTCCTCTCCTTCACTGGCCCTCTACTTTTCCCATGAGATCATTTTCTAAAGACTGACTCCTCCTTAGAACATGCTCAAAATAACTGAAGTCTAATTTCACCCTTCTTTCTTCAAAAGAGAACTCTAGTTGTACTTCATTCAAGATAAGAGCATAATTGAATAGCCTATGTCATATATTAGGTAAATTGTAAAATGTAAATTTGTAAGTTAATGTGTTTGTGAAATACATCTTTGGTTACTTATGACTCCCACAAAATACCTTAGTATCAGACACAGAGAACAAACATATATGTTTATGTATAAAGAAACAAATTACATAGTTGTCCTAAATGTCCCTCTGAAACTCTATGATCTTTGATAATTTTTGATAGTTATAGAAAGGCTTCAGGTCTTTTGTTCATAGGTT